TTATTAGGTATAAATGCTACAATGAAAGATTTTATTTTCTTTTTTTAAATGGGAATTCCTCTTGGATCACAGGTGCAATGAAGAGCAGAGAAACAAGATGACTTCTGCCCTCAACTGATGTTAAAGACAAACCACTGCAAAGGACATCGCCTATAAAAAATAAATTTATGTTTATAGTGCAAAATTCCCTCACAGCTACTGTTGCCATTTCACTTGTCCCCAGTATAATGAAAGAGAGGGTGAGTGCCTCTTACCTGGCTGTAGGTCCAGCTCCACCAACGTTTCCTCTCAAGGCTGTTCATCCTTGGACAGATTGCAGAGCAACTCCTAGTTCTTCTGGGTGCACAGCCTCCACAGTGCTGTCTTCTGTATCAGAAGTAGTTCTATGCTGCAAGGAGCTCCTTCAGAGCTGTCACACGAGATGTTTTGCAAGACTGTGCATATATATGTAAGGCTTGGGTGAGTACCAAGCCAGGACCAGAGTCGCTGACCTCGCAGTGATCATAACTAGCAGGTCTTTAAAGTGCTCTCTGCCTGGGAAAGCTGCTCTCTTGGTGGCCATCTTCACAGCTTCCGTGTGGTGCTTCCACACCAGTACAAACTATGCTTTTCCAGAAAACCTCAGCGCATTCACATCTGAGCTTAGACCAACATGCTCCACTGCTCAGCTAATAAAACCCTTTGAGCAGTCTATTCCAAGAGTTTTTGAGTGGAGTCATGAAGGAAGTGGAATACAGAAGAAACACAAAATGAAGGACAAAACCCCCATGTGAGCCAGCCAATATGTCATCATATGGAGTGGGGAAAAGAGAAGAGAGAACTTAGAGCACATGTGCCTAGGGACCTGCAGGATGATATAACAGCACTATCAAAACCCAAGCTTAACTACCCAGGCATTAAATAAATCCTAACTGTGGAATAAATACACCAAAGTGAAAGGGCATTGCCACACATCCCACTCAGCGAAACAAAGCCCATCAAAGGCTACTCAAAGAAGAGTGCAACTGAGTTTGGGCTGTTAACAAGACAATGAGCCCAAAGTTAGGCACACTGATACAACTTCATGTACTCCCTGCTACGCATTAAGCTGTTCAGTTCATAGTTAAGCCCTTTCGCCCCCTTAACATCTCTGTTTTCTCCACCACTCATAAATATTTACCCTACCTGTATTTCACAGAAATTTTTAATATAATCCAGTATTTGTTCATGTGTAATATTTTAATAAACAATCAAAAGCAAATGACAACTATTAAAACACAATAAGAAATTAATTTTGTGAAGCCCCGATCTTGATTTAACTTTTTACAGCTAGTTTCTCTTCAATTCACAAAAATTTTGGATAACGAGTATATGATACATCCATGTAAATCTGAGGTTTTGCTGTCTGTGACCACGTAACAGACCAGCTCTGGGCAAAGGACACACATAAAATATACATCAGGTGCACATGTTCAGAAACACTATTAAAAAGCCACACATTCCTGGTTTTGCCAATCAGAACAACAGCTCCCTTACAGTTAAAAGCACATTCCCACTTCAGATAATGGGCATTTTGCCACTGGCTTTGAGAAAACCAGGACTCTACTCCAGAGTTTAATCAAGATCTTATTGAAATCCATGGAGAAGTCTCACAAGAAAAAAGTGGACTGCCACATCCCTTTGCAGAGCTGTGCTCTCTATTAGTAACTCTTGAACATATTGGCAAAAGGTGCTCATAACCAGCTCTGCTGCTCTTGGTACTGATGTAGTTACAGTGTCCCTTTTATTGCACTTTTCAGTATAATTTTACACCAGGGACCGTGTGCAGTGTGTGTATGCACGTGTGAGTGTGTGCAAGAGATAAATGGCAACCCTTTTTTAAGCATGGCATATGAAATGATGCTATCTAAAATAAGACTCGAGCAAAACTATTTCAGACATCTGCAAAAAGGTACTTGTTTACCTTAACTTCAGCATGACTTCTCATGCAATTAATCATTCATATGGAGTATCTGACACAAAGATAACATGCTATACACTGCCTTTATAAATAAGGGTTTATGTCAGACATAAGGACCTTCAGAGCTGCCAAGCAGCAAGTGCAACACAAGTCATGTGGACTACACAGCCACAGAGCAGAGTAATAAACATCTTCTCAGAGAAAGAAACATACAAGAATCTTCCATTGTAAATGAGGAATTAAGCCCTGTTGGTCCAGGTTTCCCCCACCTGAACACCTACATCTTAGCAAATGGTCAACCACGAAATTAAATGAAACAACTATACTGTCTTCAGTTTAGAAAGCACTGAAGAAAATGACACCACCACCACCAGTGCAGTACAGAAAATAAAATAACCTCACTCAACTTTCCACCTTTCCAAGAGGACATTCCAAATGAAGTCTTATACCACTTGCTTTACTGAACTACGTATCTGCATCAACAAGATGCAAACTGGAAGTGATGGCAATGGTATGCTCCAACTTGCTGACTTCGCCACACTTGACAAATGAAACCAGAAAAGACAACAGCATGATATCAAGAATGAGTCCAGTAAAATGCAAAAAGAGAACAATTTCTTCATTAATTGCAATCCTGCCTGCAAAAGCAGAATGCATGTCTACTTCTATGAGTTCCTTTTTTTCCCCCCAGTGTCAGCAGTAGCTCACTGTGCTCATCATGAGGCTTGAATGAAGCACCTGGACACATCCCTGAGCAAGGGAGATTGTATACAGCTGAATATGCTACAGTGCACAACCCAGAAACCAAGAAGTTTCTGTATCTTTTGACAGCACAGGCAGTATACTCCTCGTTAAGCCATTGAGGACTGCAAAAGCAGATAGTGTACAACCCAAATGCAGTACACACACGGGAATCTGTGCGCATCACTCCTAACATATTCCCATAACAGGACTGTCTGCCTGACAGAAGTAAACAGGACACAGGGAATGGATAGGAAACACCATGACCATTATGTACAATCAGCATAGTGCAAGAAAAAGCACTTTTCCTTCAGTTTATCTCTCTCAACTTACTTTGATAACATATTACTGAAACGTCCCTTTTCCAGCCCTAAAATCTCTCCTTTCAGCATATGTCATGTCAGCATGCCCACCGGATAATTGGGATTTATAGCAGTTCTGTACAAGAGTTCTCTGCTGTGGATGGAAAAGCGAGAAGAAACGCACAAAGTTAATCCTCTTCTAATTACTCCAGAAATGTGTATGCTAATGTGGTATCATAATAATTAGGACTGCAAAGTAAATAAACTGTGTCAAAGCCTACAAGGGGGAGCAAAATTTGCACACTTGGAACGTGCTTTGACTGAACATATTTGAGTAGCCCCACTGAAGGACTGTACTGCCGATGTTCTGCCAGTACTAAAAACATGGGTGTAGACAAAGCCTTTGTCCTTTCTCACCACCGAAGCACAGAAAAGCAGGGTTGGCAAGCAGCTCACTTTGCCTAACTGCTGCAAGGCAGAACTGACACTACTTATATCATTCCTGGCAGACTCCAGTCTATAATCTGTTCTTACTGGCCCCAAGTGGTGGAGAATCCACAACCTACCCAAGCAGCCAGAGACCTCTTCCTAGTATCTGACTTGACTCTCCTTCTGCACTCTAAATCCATTATTCTTTCCCTTTGGCACACACAGCAGTTTATTCCACATATACCATTATTCATTATAAGCTATTATTGCATCCCTCTGCCACTGACTTTTCTTCTGCAGGCCAATCAATCCCATTCTTTCCTCAGAAATAATGTTATCTAGATCTGTGATTGTTCCCACCGC